CCTTGAATAGCCTTGAAAGTAGAGTATATGCCAGTCTGCGGGTAGTGCGAAGCATCGATGTGGTACGGACCGGAACTGAACTTGACCTGGTTCTTCTGGCTATTGGAATCATGGCGAGCAAGTATAGAATGCAAACCTAGCGCATACATGTCAAGGATAGTATCAAGTCTGGTACGGATGCAAGGCGTCTTCCACAGTCTAGCAGCCTCGATAGCCTTGCACTGAGTGCAGGGAGTTCCAACAGAGCAGGTCTTCTTTAACATGCGGCATCTGATGCAAGCTCCAATTTTTCGGACCTCTTGCACCTCTTGGCGGCGGGAGTTGTCAAACTTTCCTCGAACTTTAGGCTTGTTAGCTTTCTGGCCATTCCCATATTCAGTGCTGAACTCTGTCGTCAGAGGCCCGTTGATGGCAATGCGATTGTAGGAACTAGTGGTTGGAGATGCGCTTGGCATGCTATGTGCAACGTTGGGATCAGGATATAAGTTGCCATCAAGGATCCATTGTCCATGCTGGTCGTGAGCCTGTCCAAAGAAATTGTCGGCAATAGCTCCATTGGCCTCGCTGAAGTCTTGCTCCAGGGATCGATCCTCAGAGATATTTCTATGAGTGGCATCCGCCAGTAACTGTCTTGGGTCGTCTGCTAGGAGTTGGGGATCAACCATATCTGGAATGAATCGAGCAGCGGCTTGTGCAGCAGCCATAGAACTTGCCGCCATAGCAAGGCTCGGGGATGCGGAGCGGGAGTTATTGGACATGTGGGAGAAGTTCGCAGGTGGAATAAGGCCCTCACTGTCTCCTCTATTGGACTTCTGAGTAGCGCCTACAGGCCTTAGCATGTCAACGGAAGGCGCTAGAGAATAACTTACCCTTCTTGCCTCTTTGGACATGCTGCTCATAGCTAAGGGGTGGATTATCCAACGTGTACTGCTCTCTAACCTCGAGTTGATCAGGCCTTGGAGGATCCGGAGATGTTGCGGGCTGGTTGCTATCAGGATGCTCGCTGGTACCGATCTGTCTCGACACCTCTGCCAGAGTCTCCAGAGCAGTCCAGGTCTGTCGAGCCATTGGGAGTTCGACGGATGGACCATTCATCTGGACCCCGCCATTCTGATTACGAGCTGCATCACTGGAGAAGCCATTCAGCTCCAGGAGCGCCTTCTGTCTATCGTGAACGCTAATACCAGGGCATTTCTTCACGAGGTGTGTCGTCAGACTGTCGATCCGACCTTTGGGAAACTTCTCGCCACAAGACTTGCACGTATGCTCGTAGCGATTGCTAGAATCATTCAATTTGGCGCCTCTCTGAAAGTGCTGGAGGATTAAGGCTGTATAGAATTAGAGAAAGTCAACAGATGATTCTCACGCCAGCGGGCAACGGAAGGATTGCGTGAAGATGGGAAGGCAGGATTGATTAGAGGATTGACTTCACTCAAACAAACAGTCATTGCTCGAATGCCTTTTGGATGAAGCAAAGTACCAACGGATTCGAGTCTCCCTAGTGCGAGGCTCGAAGGCTGGTCAATGAGGGGGGAGAATAACCCGTAGAGGGGAAGGCATGAGCTCATTGCGTAACGAAGAGGAACCTGAGAGGACACAAAGCAGTGGAAGACACGTACCATTCGGTTTGCGACCCATAGCTGCAACTGCACGCCCGCTGCGTGTAAGTGCAAATTGTATCAGTTCGTGTTTAGTCGCGTTGACTTCTCGAGGATGAGGAGATCGATGACCGGGTTAGGAAGATTGTGCCCGTAGTATTTCTCACCGGCCTCACCGCCCTCCGACTGGATCTGGGCGGGTAGGGTTAAGCGAAACGCTAACTGAAAGAAGGATAGAGTTCTTTCACGACAAAATACTCTAAGCGAGGAAGCGGAATGATGAACCATCAAACAGACATAAACTGCTGGATAGGAACAGAAGTAGATATTCTATCTAAGCAAGGATAGTTATGCATCGTTCGGGGTTTTCTATTTTACAATGTTACTAGTCTCCATTATGACATCCATTTTCCCGCCGCTCCAAAGGTATTATGTACAGTGCAGCCCGAATCATGTCCTCCTCCAATCTCCCGGACTACCATCAGAAACCCCCAAATCCGTGAGACATATCAAAAGGCCATGGCCAGCCCTCCAGTAATTCAGGCGGTAACTGGAACTGGAACTGGTCATCAGCTGACTGCCCCATACCTGCACTTATTCCCTCGACACCACTCGTAAAGTCTCCTTTAAAACTAAAATCTGATTGTGGCTGCTGATACATGTTTGGCATTGCTGTAGAAACTTGCAAACTTGGATCAATATTTGGGTTCTCGACGGCAGATAGAACCTGTTTCGAGTAGGTAGGGTTAGAGGTCACGGTGTCCTGTTGTCTGTGAGTCTTCATGTAATCCTCAATTACAGTAACTTGGGTCCGGATACGAGAGGCAGCTCCCACAGCACGGGTCATGCCGACTTCGAGGGAAGAGAGGAGGTCCGCCATTGATAGCCTATGACTAGGGTTAGAAATTTTCCTTATAGGCCAATATAAGGCGGTGACTTACAGCACATCTCTGACCTGTACGTACAAGGATTCAGAGAGTGGGCCTTCGATAGCAGACCCAAGGATGGAGCCGATTCCTGCCAGTTGATGTAGCAGAGGAGAAGAGATTGCCCTCAGGAAGAAGACCGGTACTTTGGCAAAACCATCCAGAAGCTCTTGTGCAATAGCGCACTTTTGGTCCACCGTTACATCCTCTGTTGTGAAGAGCATCATGCGCACAAGTAGTAGTGTAGCAGTAATATTTGCGGCCTGGAAACTAAACTTATCTTCCATAGCATCTGGCCCAGTTTCAGGTATTGGCTTAATCTCCTTGAAACGCTGAGGCAGTTGGTCGTGCATTTCCATCACCTTCCCCATAACTACACTTTGACCAGGGCATTCCCTAGTAAACAGGATAGCCGCGGAGACGGGACGGATGGTATTTGGGCGACAACGGTGGTATTCGTCAATCGCATGTTCCAAAATGCGGTAGAGCTCAGTAGTGAAGTTCCAGCCATGGAGCCATGACGCTGGATTGGTGGTGACCTGTTGAGAACCTGAAGGACTAGGGGGGTCCAGAGGTTGGTAGCCAGTATCGGAAAAGAACTCGTCTTCTATCTCGGACGGATAGTTAACCAAGCACTGCGATTCTCGACAGCGAACCATGTTTCCCCATACTACGGATGAAAATACTTCCAGTGAGTACATAGACCAAAACTAGAAGTATTAGCAATAAATAGTATATAGTCAAGAGGCATACCTGACGACGCCGTAACTCAATCTCAACGATTCCTATACCCTTTGGCCAGTTCTTCTCGTCGTGCAGCCCATCCATAGCAACCAGACTGTGGTAAAGGCCTAGATATTGGTGCATGATATTGATTTTCCCAGCTTGAATGCCGTAGAGTGCAAGTAGTCCGCAGGTACGGAGCCAGTCTAGGCCCTGCATGGCAGTCAAGTCCTGTGGAATGGCGTCTTTCGCTGCAGCAAAAAATAGCTCTGGAGGAGGAGTTTGAAAGTACTCTGGTTCCCAGCGGCCAGGGAATAAAGCGCCATCTCTCACGCGCTCAGAAGACAGCGCACATACTGCCATGACGTCCGCGAAGAAGGCATCGTCCGTGAGATAGTCTCGATTAGCCGTCCTTCTTATCATTGTCGGGATATGGAATATGGGAAATCTATAATGGTCAGATCCTGAATTTGGACATAGCGAGTCGTACAGATCAGGCGGGGTATATAAAACCAGAAGCCAGTAACATCGTGACAGGGGAAACTCACATGGGATAGACGATTTCAAAGAATACATCCACAAGGCCTCTTATCTTCGCCTCGTTCGGTTCCATCATAGCTCTCCACTTTTCTATGATTCCAATTTCTATACCACTGAACGATACCTGCCCTGGAATACCATTTGTCAACTCCAGCAGCATCTGCGCATCCCTGCTCTCGTCCAGTAAACATGGCCCTTCTTGGCGCGTTTTCTCATGTCCGCTCTTGGTCCCACGCTTCTTCGCCGGCCGGTCATACGTGCACGCAACAGCGAAGTCTATACAGTTCTGACAGGAATTCCGATCCTCGATGCTGGGCCGACAGCGAATGCTCCGCTTGTGACAGTAGTCGCAGGCTCGAGTTATCCGCCGCAGCTTCCTTGGCCTGTCTCCTGGTTTAGGAGCCATTGGTGCAGGTGCGAGAGCCGGGTAGGCAACACGAGGCTGGTTCATCTCGACGCGGATGTATATTGCAAGGGGAATTCAGTGCTGCATCAAATACGATCCAAAAGCCTGTCCGATGTCTGTAAAGAAATATTTGTCCGGTGTTTTTCTTTCACTTGAGAATCAAATCATGATATAACTCGCAGAATTTGATGGTAAATGAATGAGGCACGTGATGGGTTCAGGTTAAAAGGAAGCCGGCTAGACGGGTGACTTATATTACGGGTGGCTTGTAGCATCTGCCGAGCTTGAATCCACGATCATTAGCGGACCGGCGCTGTTAATAATGAGAATGAATGTTGGAAGGTCGTCCCCGTCACAGACGGATGTTCAGATGTAGATGTCATCCAGGAAGACCGGAAATATATTACGTAATCATAATGCAAAAAACCACGTGAACCACCAGTGGGTTTTACAGTAGAATTCGCAGCGCACGGGCCAAAACACCAAAACGCGAAATCGCGATTTCATGCTCTATTTATCTAGGGACCAGCTAAATCCCAATCATTTAGTAGCTAAATCCCGACCACCTTTCAAAGTAGGTAGCATGTAGGTTTCTATTCCGATGTTTGGATTCTAGGCTCCTGTCCTAATGTATATGCCGCCCTATTTTCTACATGCCACATAAAGTTGCCAGATAGAAAAAATGAAAGAAGTGCCTCTTCTAATCCCATCCCGCCCACCACCTTCAAAAATCCAAACACGCCACCCAAAAAACTGGGTTAAAAATTTAATTAATAATACTACAAAACAAAAAGAAAAGCCATAACGGGGCTCAACCGGGATTTGAACCCGGGACCTGTCACATGCTCAGACCTGCTCTAGGAGCAGAGGACTTTGAATAGAAACCCAAAAAGCCCGAAGCGACAATCATACCACTAGACCATTGAGCCAATCGAAAATTACCCAAGATTCGCTTATCTCACTATTTACAAGTATCTCCCTTATATGTGGCGAATAATTTACGCGAGGACGGTTGCGCCACGCCTCTGGCACTAAGTCGACGAACAAAGACTAACAGGACTGGGTATACCAAGGTCCACAGTTGCACCCTCATTATTGGGAGTAAAATCGATCGCTGCCCTATGCCCTGACGTCGCGTGGTCAGCTGAGAGGGCAGAGACCCGCCACGCGCATCGCGAGGACGGGAAGTGGCTGCCTTCGGCCTTTTGTTGGGTCGAGCACTTGGCGAGATGGGAATCAGAAGAGCGGAGGTTGGGGCGGAGTTGTGATTTTGAAATAGGTACAAGATGAAAGTTACGAAATCATGGAATAGTATGGTCTAATGTCACTCTAGGTATAACTAGGACTCCGCGGCTTGAAATCAACAGCTATGAGACTGAATTTCGTGAAAGATGATGCATGCTATGATTTGCTAATGTAAGGCATTCGTACGTATCAACGACAAGCATGTCACCACTTTCCACAATCCTCAGGAAGTCAGAAGCCCTCTTGTCCTCCCCTATCCATCTGCCCCATTACCAGATCCAAAACTGTACATTAGTTCACAAGTTATCGAGCGCAACCAGTAGACTACTGAGTAAGAAAAACATCGTCGACGCGAGTGTACAAGGAGTTGAAAAAGAGAGTTGCTATTTGAGAACAGAGTTTGTCAAGGGTGGTGGCTGAACCCCAGAGGTATTATCATACACCATACAATATCCACCTCGCGCGCCCAATGCAGGGTTTCCGACACAGCGGTATTCTGCATCCAATCTAGTCATTGCGGCTGTAAGCAGCATCAACCTCCTTCTGATATTTTTTTAAGATGAGTTTCCGGTTCAGCTTCTGGGCGGAGGTCGTGTAACCCTATTAATCGTCAGCAGCGATATAAGTGCAAGCAGAATACGGGTACTTACATTCTGAGGCGTCCACTCCTCGTCCGCCAGGACAGCGCCCTCAATGATCTCAATACCGGACAGCCCTCCCTGCCTTCCGGCTGTCTGGAGCTCCTTCAGAACAGCGTCCTGCACCTTCTGGTTGTGGACGAGATCTTCGATGCCATTGCCCTCCACGCCGATTCTATCAGCGATCTTCTTCAGGGCCGGCTCGGCGGGGACGATGATGGCGACAGGCTTCGTGCGACGCTCGTCGGCGTACACGCAGATATTGGCTACGACTGTCGCAGACCGGTAGATAGACTCGAGCTTCTCCAAAGCGATATATTCGCCGTTCAGGGTCTTGATCAGGTTCTTCTTGCGGTCGATGATCTTGAGATGGCCATTCTTGTCCCACTCTCCAATATCACCAGTCTTGAACCATCCGTCCGGAGAAATAGCCTCTGCCGTCTCCTTGGGGTTCTCGTAGTATTCAGTCATGACTGACGGGCCACGGATCCAGACCTCGCCCTGTGGGTTAGGCTTGTTCGTAGCAAAGTAGCCGGCATCAGGGAAATCGACTAGCTTGATCTCGATCGAGCCTGGGATATTGCCGTGGGCCTGGTCCGTCCACTCCATGGGATCCATCAGCGCACCCATTGCCGTTGTTTCCGTCAATCCGTAACCGTTTATCATGGGCGCGATGGCCATGGATATGAAGCGTTGTGTGTCCTTAGCCACCGGCCCGCCTCCATTCATGCAAATCCGTAATCGACCACCTGTTGCCTCCTTGACCTTCTTGAACACGACGGCATCTAGGAGACCAGATCCTGGGAGGCCGAGGTGTAGTAGATTATTCTTTGCCCAGAAGGCTCCCCAGAACAAGTTCTTCACTATGGGACTGCCAGAATTGACCTTGGCAATAATACCCTTCTTCACTGACTCCCACACAGCGGGCACTCCCACCAGGACGGTCGGTCTCAGTTCGCGGATATCGCCCTTGCAGTTCTTCACGGATGTATCGGACAGTGTCTTGGGGTTTCCGTAACCCATGGTTCCGCCCCAGTACAGTGTGGCATTTTCGAAGACGAATTCGAGGATGTGTGCAAGTGGGAGGTAGGTCAAGAGGCTGTCCCCAGGACCAAGGTAGGGGTGGACGATCACACTGACACCGGTAACTGGACAAGTCAGTACTTTTTGTTGGAGGAGAGGGGAGAGGAAGCTGATGACGTACCTGCGGCAACGACAGCCTTGTGCTTGATCGGCACGCCCTTAGGAGGGCCGGTGGAACCAGAGGTATACATGATACAGCAGAGATCTTCAGGGCCGGGTGGGACGAAGTCAACGGGATTCTCTTCTCCAAGCTTACGAAGCTCCTCGAAGCTGTGGATGTTAAGGTGGGGGTGAGCCTTAAGGAGCTTTTCTATGTTATCCTGCTTGACATCGTTCTGGCTGTTCCAGATGATATGCTTGATATCCTTGGCCTCTTTGAGCGGGTTGATGAGCGTAGGCAGAAGGTGGGGATCGAGGAAGATGGCCTTGGCCCTGGTGGCCACCAGTGAGTGTTTGAGGCCCTCCTCGCCGAGGGTATCGTAAGCTGTCACAATGGGCATGGATTGCGAGCCGGCGCCGTGGGCTGTCGCCAGCCAGTGGGCGCTGGTGGCAGCGAAGATGTGCACGCGGTCATCCTTGACCAAACCCAGCTTCCGGAAGCCCGCCCCGATCTGGGACATCAGGGTCTGATACTCGTTGAAGCTCATGAACTCATAAGGGCTGAGCTCGAAGTACGTCCACTGCTTGTCGACCTCCTGCTCCTTGCCATCGATGGTCTTTTTGACCTTCTTCGTCTCCTGGTGGGTCTTGAGCAGCTTCCGCGACCCAAGAGCCTTTGCGTTGCCAAACTTCTTGGCGCTGGTCAGGACGATGTCGAGGACGGTCGCGATCTCTTCACTCGGCCGGTCGATCAGCTTGTTAACAGCATGGGGATTCCGCCGGGGAATGGTCTCGCCGTCCACCTGAGGGGCCCCGGGCACCTCGAGACTGAAAGGGGGCGCATGGGAGATCTTGGGCTGCAGAACCGCAGTTTTGAGGTGCGACATGACGGCAGCTGTGGGAAGCTCCAGAGCTTTGGGTGGGCACGAAGGGCGTTGTTATATGGCAATATGAGCTGTTCGACAGGAAGCTCTAAGAGAATATTCGTGGTCTGGAGGGGTACTGTGCAATATGAGAGATTTGGGGAAGTCTGTCGTGGCCGTTGGCGTGGCGTTGACGTGAGATTGCCTTATATAACAAACGGGGGGTCAGGCAAAAAAGAAACGGAATGGTTGGGGAGCTGGTGTTTTGATGGTCGATGCTGGGGAAGCGGCAGGACGGCGTGGGATTGGCTGTAGGAAGGCCCAAATAACGGGTCCCCTCAAAGGGTGAGTGCGGAGAAAATCTGCCTGCGGAAGACGGGGCGTGACATACCATCGCAGCAGGAGAAAGGGGCAGGGCGATTGATAAATAGTACCCAATGTAAATGGAATATGGTAAGTTTGTATTGCGCTGACTGTGAGATAGCACCATCATGTACGCTGTTCGAAGTCCCTTCCCCCAACTCTGACACTCGTACGGAGGAAAATGTACGGTATATTCCCACTACTCGCCCCCTATTCTTGCAGGGCTGATCTGCACAGCCCGGGAGCGCTGGACTGGACGCCCAGTTCGCACCTTTCCTCTGCAAATCGATCACTCAATAGCCTATTGGCGACCCTGGCTGTTAGCCCGCTCTGATCACTCAACGTCCATTATCTATCTCGACCTCACCTATCACGGGATATAAGTCACTCTCTGGCAATTGATGTGAGACACACACTCTCTCTATCTCCCCCAACCCGTCGCACACGCTCTTCGTATCCATGGCTCCCTCGACATTTCCATAGCAGAAGCCTGTCCTCCTCTGCCGGCCCCATTGGCTGCCCAGCCTGACATGTCCTCGGGCAACCTCGGCAGCTCCATGACCATCCACAGCCTCGTGAAGGCCCATGGGCAAGAGGTGCACGACCCGGAAGAAGGTACTGTCCCATTGTCGTTCCCCTCCTCTGCCGCGCGGGCCAGCACGCTAAGCTCGGTACTAGAATCGTTTCTCCTGTTCTCGCAGGCCATTCCCTCCCAGAACCTGGGCTTTGTCGACTCCAAGGCGGCCCGCTTGGAATTGACCATCGCTGATCGCGACCTTTCCATCGTCCAGTCTCCCACAATCCTCTCGTCCAATCGGGGAGGTGGGACAACAGGTGCTGGTGAGGACCCCCGCCTTCCTCAGTTACCCCCTTGATTAAAACCCATCCGCAGTCGTCTGGAAGATTACCCCCCTGTTCGCATCCTGGGTAACGTCTCCTTCCAACGTCTTTTTCAAGCATGATGTTCTGGACTCAGATTCCACCGTTCTCGAGCTGGGCTGCGGGATATCTGGTATCATCGCCTTATCTTTGGCACCACGCATTAGATCGTATATCCTCACAGATCAGGACTATGTCATGAAATTACTGCATGAGAACCTCCGAGAGAATCAGCGCGTTGTATCCTCAAACAGGGGTCGGAAGAGTAACACAAAGCTAAAAAGAGGGTCTGCTGCGGCATCTGCACTAATGCAGGATCCCAATATCCTTACCCAGACTCTAGATTGGGAGACAGATGAGGTCGCATCCTCATTAACTAGATCCGAGTCCTGCCCGAGTTTCGATGCCGTAATAGCATGCGATTGCATATACAACGACGCTCTTATCGAGCCACTGGTCCAGGCCTGCGTCGATGCATGCAAATTGCGTTCCGCCAATTCCGCCGACAACCAGAAGCCCACAGTCTGCATTGTAGCACAGCAGCTTCGGTCTGCAGAAGTATTCGAGTCGTGGCTCAAGGTATTCGGCAGGCCGTTCCACGTCTGGCGAGTGCCAGATGAGGAGCTCATCAACGAACTAAAGTCGGGCTCGGGATTCGTCGTTCATATTGGGATCTTGAAGTAGAGTTGACGCAAGGGAGTTGTGGTATATCTCGCAGAATAAAGACTCGCGCTATTGGCCATGATATGTGAACAACTA